TTCTAGTTTTCTTGAAAAAATGGAATCACAATTAATCTCGAATAAAAATGTAAAAGAAACGATAGGAAATTAATTTGACGTACCTTCCCTTAATTTCTCGTGTAATTGTTGTGTGTTCTCCTATGCTTGCTCCTATACGTTGCATGTCTGTTATCACTAAAGTTGTTTGTTTCTTCATTAAATGTAAAACATTTCCACCATTTCTTTGTTGTTCAGTTAGTGCTTTATTTACGTTTTTGGTGCATTCATCATCACAAACTTCAAATAATACATGTAATGCGTTTCCTACTATATTTATAATGCCTCGTTTTTCTCTTTTAATTTCATTTTTTCTTAATGATATAAGTATATTTTCTCTTTGCATAGATATTTCAGTCAACATTCCAGTTATAAAATTATCGAATTTACTACAAATAGGCATGTATTTAGCATCTTTCTTACAATTTTCATTTAATTCACTTAGGTATACTTTTTTCCAGCTATACATATTTATCATTATATTCGGTTAAAGATAGATTTGCCATTAACGTATATTCTCCCCCTACTAACCTTGTTGGTCCATAATTTTCAAAGTAATAACCCGGCTTGTTGATTTCGAAGCTTTTAATGTTAAATTGTTCTAAATGATCTGTAATCTTTATTTATTTTCCAAATGTAGTTGCAATGCACAACGATAATGTAAAATTTTATAATTATTTATTCTATATATATATTACTTAAATTGTTTCTTTTTTTTTTAACTATCAATTAACGACACATTTTATATAACTTTATAGGTTTTACCTTATTCACTATTATATTGAAAATACATCTAGTTAAATTCACATCTGTCACAGAATCATGACAGTGAGATATTTCGTACCTTTCTCTACATATTAATTCATGTGCCTACTTTAAGTTAAGCATCTTACAGTTTTTTATCTTGTACCCAATTTCCTCATTAAATAATAATTTATTATTGATCATATCAATTAATTTTAAACTAAAATTATTATTATTATTATTAGCACTATAAGTAGTTACATTTAACATTTTTTTTATATTATGTATTCGCAGTTTCTTTAGTATTTTTCTATCCATTTCTCCATTCCAGAATACAACTACAGGTTTCCTATTTTTATCTGAAAACATGTAATGATTAAAGAAAGTTGTGCCCAGATTTCTATTTCCTCCAACCACTATGCTTTGGTGTAACTGCCTGAGCAACGGTGTTAAAACGACTGGCTTCTTTCTTAAAATCATCTTCAAGTATTTTAGCAATCCTTCATAGTTTCTTCGGTTAAATATTCGTAATCTACCTTTTTCAGTTAGAATGATAGGTCTCCCTTCCATTTTAACAGGTGAGTGTTTATCAAGATTATTGCAAATGGCTTTCGATACTAATAGTATATCCTTTTTATTTACCATTGCAAATTCAAAATCGATTACTACGAACTTTATTTGCGAACTACAAAATATTATAAGTTAATATTACATTTACATAAGTACATATATTATTATTTTTTTAGAAAAGTCCGTCTTCAATTAATTCGTCTATGGCTCTACCCAATTCGTTACAAGATGGTCCATTTGATTCTAAAGTTATGACTTCTTCCATAAATTCTTGTAATCCAAGTATTATTCCTAACATGTATACAATTCCGTCATTATACTATTTGCATCCATTATGTGTTCATTGAAACATGGTAATTCAATCGTATTTCCTAATTCTCGTGTCCCTAATTCTATATGGTTATCACCTCCTAAAAATACGTGCAATTTTCTCATGAATTCCTTAGCTCTTTCCATAATTAAAATCTATATAAATATATGTATCGTTTAGTTTTTCTTCGCAATTGATCCTATCTGCAATTTATTTTAACTTAATTATAGGTATTATATAAATATTTTTTTTTTTTTATTCTTCTTAATATTTCTTATTCTAATATAAAATTTTTTTACATTATTTTATAAACTGTTACTCCTCTTCTACCTCTTTGTATTACTATATTTTCTTCTCCTAATACTATTACTTCAAATGGTCCTATCCATAATGAATTTAACTTATTTTTACTTGCATTATCTTTTAATAACACTAAATCTTTAACATGTACCTCAATTGCATTTTAATTTTTATCATACCCTTCTTTAGATTGAATTTTACTTTTTATTAATTTCTCTCTCGCGATTTTATGTTATTTTCGCAAATTTTGTTTTAAGTCGTATAAATAACTATGGTAATTATATCTCGGTTCTGATTCAAACTTTAATTTAACTGGTATTGCTAATATCCTGCCGTATACTAATGCATATGGTTGAAAATTAGTAGATGATTGTTCAGTTGAATTATATACAAAAAATGCATATGGTAATAAATGATCCCATTCGCTTAGATTTTTATTTACAAAATGTAGTAAATATTCAGCTAAAGTTCGATGTGATCTTTCTAAACTCCCATTCGTTTGCGGATGAAAAGGACTAGTATTTACTTTATTAATTTTTAACAATTTATATACTTTACTAAAAGTTTTACTAAGAAATTTGGTACCTTGATCTGTTAATATTGTTTCGGGTATTCTGTGTAAACATACGAAATGTACTACGAAAGCCTCTGCCACAGTATTAGCTTGATGATCTGGCCTAGGAACTCCTAACAAATATTTAGTTAAATCGTTCTGCATTGTTAAAATATATGTATTACCCGATAAGGTAGTTGTTAATGGTCCTATAATATCTAAAAATATTTTTTCAAATGGTTTCGAACTAGTTAATGTAATAGCCATGGGTTGTTGTATCTTTTTATTATTAATCTTATTCTTCTGACATGATGTATAATTTTTTATATACGTTTTTATATCTGTTTTCAAACTTCTCCATTTAAATTGTTTTTGTATCTTTTTAATAATTTTATTTATTCCTAAATGTCCTCCCAAGCTTGAATCATGAAATTGTTTCAAAATGTCTAACTTCTCTTCTTCAGTGTATTCTATCTCTGTAAATATTAGTATTTCTATATAGTTTTTTCCGAAATATATATCGTATTATTGACCTAATTTTTTCCCATTCTAGGTTATCTGACTGACCTAGTTTATTCATTGCTAATTTACTGACAATATTTTCCTCGCAAAATTAGTTCAATAATGTTACGTACATATTTTCATTCGTTGATAATTGTTTATTCTTATTTTTAGTTATAAAAACATCATATATCGATTATCTATTTTATAATATTTTATATCACCTATTATTTTACTCGGCGTTAACATTTGATTATTTCCAAATCTCTGTTTTAATATTTTATTTACTCCTTCCGTGAAATAATATTGTTTAGCGATTTCCGATACTAAATGATGTACAATGGGTACGTCTAATTTTGTTCTAACTTTGTACCAGTTACAAATATGAGCATGTTAATAACTAAATTTCCTAATAAAATGCATTTAGCAAAGTTAAAAAATATTAATAATACAATAGGAATGAAATTAAATCATTTAGGTGAATTATCACACTCTGTAGACAACTTGGAGGAATTAATAAATAAGGAGAAAGAAAGAGAGAGAAATGAACAACATAAAGAGATACATTCAAGTTTAATATTTGTAACTTTAATTTTGGGAGTATTATCAATGACTTTAATAATAATTGTGTATGTAACAATAAAGTATAAAATACAATGGATAAAAATAAACGAAATATAGAAGAACCTAAAATATATAAGTTATCAAAAAGGGATTTAGAGGATTACAAGTTAGGAAATATAGAAGAAAAAGAGGAATTAGAAGTGAAAGAAGAGGGAGTTTATCCACATCTAAGCAATAATCACTTGATACGATAATTGAAAGAATAATTCATTTTTTATTTTAAAGTTCAATTGAGGAAAATCAAATTGTAACACCATTACTTGGGAAAATGTTTAGTTATGAAAATAACTGGATATCCTGGGCAATAACAATTTGATTTCTACAAGTGTAATGATAAAATATTTAATAGTTAATCGCAATTAATCACAATAATATTTTGTAGTTGAAATAATAATAAATATTAAATTAATTAAGTGGGAATGATAAAATATTTCAATGGTAACATCACCGTCACTCAGTATTAGAATTTTGTTAAGCACTTTGAATTATAAAATAAATATATTAAATATATTAAAAAGTTAAAGTCTCGTGTCTAATTAATTAAAATTAAATATATATTCGACTGTACAAATTTAAATCGAGCCGTTGGCACGTAACAGGGCATTATATACCTAAGTTACACAAGAAAATGAAGATCAAAAGATGATTGCCAGTTTAAGTTGTAAATACGAAAACAATTATTGATACAATATGTGGTAAAACGATTCATCTGTAATGGTGTTATCTTCGATACTTTTTTTATCTCATGTGTTGTTACCATAGTCTTATATCTATGACTGTTAATTAAGTCACTAAAATCTTGGAAGTATGAAGTCTTGGGCATTCTATAATTCTTTACCCTAAGATATTCCTTATGAAGGAGTTATATCTGAATAAGTGTCCTATTAATTAAAGAACCGGATGGGCCTCGCTCTGCTGTACAATAGGGGGTGGAATTCAACTCGTTTATAGGATAGGTCAATACAATTGATTTGTTAAATTCGAATGCAATGATAGGTATCATTGCATACGAATAACAATTCTAAACAGAGATGATTTATTAGATATATATATTATTATTATTATTTTATAATAATCTTACTAGCTGAACCCGTGCACTTCGTAGCCCATATATAGAATTCGCCCGTGTACAGTTATTACTTTCTCTAAATGAAATTCTTAAATCAGATGTTTATTATTTACCTTCTTTCTTTTTTCAATCCCCTAGCAACAAACGAATATAATACTATAAACGACGTAAATTTTCAAACGAAAATAATAGCACGTAGGTTGTACAGTTAAAATTAGTTTTATAATAACTAATAGCCGACTCCTGTGCGCTTCGCAGCACCAACACAAAAATGCAATAAAAATCATTTATTTTTTCTAAATTCTTTATTATTAATCCAACGCATTTGTGTAAGCAATATTCTTTGTTTGTCCATTTGGGGTATACACAAATAAACAATTTGGAGTGCCAACTCTTGAACAGGCCACGTATAATTGCCCGTGCGAAAAACACGGCTCCTCCAAATCCAAACCGCATACTTGGAGCGTTTGTCCTTGTGCCTTATTGATGGACATAGCGAATGATAGGCGCACGGGGAATTGCAACCGTTTGAATTCAAATGGCATGTCTGTTGGTATTAGAGGAATACGTGGGACGAGTGCAAATTCCCCCTTCGTTTTGCCAGTCAATATTGTGGCTTCGATTAAATTCGGCATCAATCTTTTTACAGCTAATCTTGTGCCGTTGCACAGTTTTGGTGCATTCAAATTCCGTAGTAAAATAATTGATGAGCCGACCTTCAAATTCAAGAAATGCTGCGGTATACCGGGTGGTTCTAACGAATTCAAAAATTCAACTGGATAGTTAACTGCATCATCTTCATTCAATGCGCTATCAATAGATTTGTATGATATTACTGCACAGTAAGTAATTAAGTAATCATACAGTCTTCCAAAAATTTTCTATTGAGATATAATGTCTATATAAATATCCTATATAACTATATTTAACTAACAAAAAAAATGAGTCGAAACGGCTCTTATTATTTTATTAGGAAAAATCGAATATTTCAAATGCCATAAGTTGCTTAAAAATCAGTATAATATTTTGAAAAAAATATGCTTAAAGAACGATTTCCAAATTTTTTTAATTTCGATAAGTATAATTTATAATAAATCTTGTATTAGGTTTTCAAGAGTTTTCTTATAGTCAAATTTTTTTTATTGGTATTTCAAAAAAAAAAAAAAAAAAAAAAAAAAATTAGAAAAATAGTAAATTTAAATTGTCTATAAATAAGGCAAAATATGTCAAAACACTTTTAAAACTTAACCATGTATAAAAAGAGGCTTGTTCGCGCCGCGCACTTTGCGTTCGCGCCAAAACTAAACCGCCCGGTGACATCCGGTTCGCGTTATACCGCGGTTGTGTTGCGACGAGTGTCAACGAGCTTTGTCGCTGCCGTCGTCATCCGTTGTACAATATCTTTGGTCGGGGCCACGCGTCCCGCTCGCTCCGATATATTGCTCCCTCGATTCGCGCTCTCCGACCGCGCCGGTTGTCGTTTCCCTCTCCTTTTTTGAGTGCCGTCGCGCCTTTATCCCAGGAACACCGTTTTTTCGGCGTTGGGTAATTCGTTGTGCGCGATGTGCTTATATACGGGCGTTATTATCCGACACCGGTGCATTTGCGCGTTTTCACGTGCCGATTGTCGGTTTTTTGGTTTTCTCCGTCGTTCGTGACGGTCCCGACGCGACGTGTCGTCGAGTTCGCGTGTGCGTTACGCAACTATCTCGCGCAGTCGTACGTCTGCCATTACGTGTCGCTATATACGCCTTTGTCGATCGCTTTGGTTATTGTACTCGTGTGTGAGTGACGCAAAGCGCGTCGATACAATTCGTGAGTGTCGAGTCGTCACTAATTTCGTGCGATCGTCTTTTTCACGTGCCGCTCTTTTCACGTACCGTCGCGGCCGTATCGTCGTGCCGACAAATTACGCTCGTTTACGCGACAAGTGCCGCGTTTCTACGGGTCATCGTTCCTGTGTTGTAGTGCCTACTGTCCGCGCGTGCATTCATTACGCGCCGAGTGTCGCCCCCGTGCCGTTGTTGCCGTGTCGTCGTGTTGTGCCACTGCATCGTGCAACCCGTCGTAATTCCTTCGCGCGACATTTTCGTCGTGTCGCATCCGAAGTGCCCAGCTATTATTTGCGGATCAACATGCGGGTTTTTCCCAAGCCACCAGTCGTAGCCGATCAGATGATTTCGGATCGAATTCAACTGCCGTCAAGTTGGCCATTCTGGACCGGGTGACATATTTGTTATCAAGTTATCATACTCGTATTGTTATTATTATTATTTTGTGAATTGTATGTAATCTCAATTGATTATTATTTATATTAGTATTATTTATATTTTCTGGGCGCCCGCTTAATTATTTGTACATATTATGTTCAATTATTTTGTAGTTTTCAATACATTTATTGTGCGCAATGCGCTATTACAATTTATCGTGTAATATATATATATATATATATATGAGTGAAGATCACCTCACTCCTAAAACCGACACGCGAGTCGGACTAGTCAACCGCCATATTTGTAGGAACTACTCCGGCGTAAACAAGGCTAATATAAACATTTGGTAAAAATTGTAAAAATTGTGTTTGCGTTTTTTTGGTTTTTGAGTTAGAGCAAATTCCAAAAACCAATATAATTTGTTTGTCTAGAATATTATATATTTTATTATATTATATATTATTATATATTTTACATGTAATTTAATGTCAATATACGCTGTTTAAATGCTTATAAAAAAAATTACGCTTATGGATTTCAATAATTTTTGAATGGCAATAAGAACAACTTCTTTGAAATCATCTATTAAATTTTCAAGTGTTTTGTACAAGACAATTTTTTTTTTATCAACGATTATAAAAAAAAATTGTAAAAAAAGTCGAATATTTCAAATGCCTATAAGTTGCTTAATAATTAAGTCAATATAATATTTAAAAAAAAATGTAAATTGAAGAAAATCCCAATATTAACAACTGGTAAAAATGTTAAGTTACTGCGATTTATACTTTTTGAATTATAATAAATATTTAAAATCATTTGAGAATAAATCATTATTTTATGTAATTTTGTAAGAATTTAAATTTCAAACGGTCATAAATTGTTTTTCTTAAAGTCCGGTAAAAATGTTTTTATAATTTTTTGAAGAATAACTTATGGATAACCTAATATTAAAATTTTGAACCTTAAATATAAGCAAAATAAATTTTATGAATTTTTATCTACAAAATACCTTGCAAATTATCGTGATTTTGGTACATTTTATACAAATTTGAACTTTATGGGCTTATAAAAAAATTTGTGTGAAACGATTTCCATTTTTTTTTTTTTTTAGTCGCAGTAATTAAAACTTATAATGAATCTTGTATTAAATTTTCAAGAGTGTTTGGACTTTTATAGATATTTAAAAAATAAAAAACTCAGAAAAATTGAAAAATTAAATTATCTACAAACAAGTCGAAAAATTTTAAAATACTTCGAAAACACCATGTATAGAAAACGCTAATTTAAATATTTGGTAAAATTTCAAGTGTATACGGTTTTATATATATATAGTTTGCCAAAACGTGGTTTTGCGTAAAAATTCCTGTTTTTCATAATTTTTTTGTAGTTTTTTTCGATGCTTTTAAAAAGTATTGAAAAAGTTTGATATTTGACTTGCCAAAGTACCATTTACATTCACTTTCCTTTCAGAAAAGTTGCTTTTTAAGAAAATCGAAGCATTTTTACTGCCATAAAACGTGATGACAGACATAAAAAAAAAAACAAAGCGCATATCATTGTAAAACCAATAGATTCTATCACTCCGTTCATAATCGAAAAAATACGTCTAAGTACATAAATAAAAATCAAATACATATAATGCTTTAAAAATTATAATGATAATAAAATCCAAGTATTATATATATATATATATATATATATATATATATATATATATACGATTAGACACAATTTTTAAATTAAATACAATAAATATAATTTAGTACTAATATAAAAGTATTTATCTATTTTTATGTTTTATAGAAAATATATTAACAAATTCATCTGGGTCCAAACTTTTGGCAATTTTTTTTTCGATAAAAATACTTGAAAAACTGACCAGTCGGTCATTTGACATACAATTTCTCATATGGTTCTTCAATTTTCTTAGACAAGAAAAAATTCTCTCACATGTTGCGCTGGTTACCGGAATAGTGATTGATATAACAGTTAATTTATAAGTTTCATTAAATACAATTTTATACTTTTCAAGGAAATCATCCAGATTCATTGAGCTTTTAGTTTTTGTATTATTTTGGATTTCATATTTCTTAATAGTCGTAGGTAGTATTTTAATTTCGAACAGAAACATTACTAAATCTATATTGTAGTGAAGGGCCAAAGGTTTTAACTGTTCATAATTTAAAAAACTTTAATTTTGGAGATGTAAATAAGATATCGAAGATAGTACATTTTTATTATTTGTAAATCTTTTGTCAAGTTCATTAATTAAGTAATCTAATGTCAGTAAAAATAAATTGAGCTTTAAATCAAATTTTGAAATAAATTTCTATTTTTCTAAAGCATTTTCTTCTGTAAAAATAAATTGCCTTAACTTTTTTGTGGTTATTTTTGTTCTATTGTTCTTATTTGGTTTTTGAATAGGTGTTGTTATATGGTTTTCTTTACTTATGTTAGTAGCTTCAAGATAAAGTTTATTGAAAATGATATTAATTCCCGAGTTATCATCTCTCATACGTTGAAAAACAGTCAGTTTTTATTGATAAAATTTTAGTTAAATTTTCATCCATTTCTGCATTTATTATTATATTAAATTTTAATTAAAATCCGATATATTTGGTTGTATTTGCATCATATTTAGGCAATATTAAAAATTTGATAAAAATTAAAAGCCATTATATAACATTGGGCCCCTCTGAATACTTTGGGTGGGCCGGCTTAAGGTCGGACACATATAAAGGTGGGCCAGGCACATCCTAGCTTCCCTTAACTACATGCCTGCGTACAGCGACTACGATTTGTATTTTCGAACGCGGATCCCCGTCGAGTCGCGCATAACCGAACGTGCTAAATGACGCGAAACCAAACGTGCGGACGCGCGTTCAATCGGCGTGGCACTTTGGACGGCGGCCGAAAGGAAGAATAAACGTTTCCAAAAAGATCACGCGCAACGGGCCAGGGGTCGATTTTAACGGTTATCCGTTTCACGGGGGAGCGTTTTGAATATTTTACTATTATAGTTTTCACGAACGGTGTGCATTATCCAGCGGTAAAAAAAAAACGGATGAACAGGTAGAACAAGAAGAATGGGTAACGGAAGTGGATGATGGGAGGGCGGCAAACGGAACGAGAAGAACGGAGACTATCTCTCGTAAACCTATAAAAATACTTCGTGCGTGCAAATATTCAATAACTCGATCTGACAAGGTAATCCCACGCGTGCGCGCGCGTTCGCCGAACGTCTCGAAAACTGCCATCCCGGTTTATTTTTGAACCGTAAAACGGTTCTACGTCTGTAGTTTCGCGATGCACGTGCATGCAGGGGTACGAGGCGCATAGGGTGCATGTACTTTTCGAATCGGTTGGCGTAGCAGGTAGCCGGACGAAAACGGACACGTGCGGCGTGAACGGTTATCGCACCTAACCTAATATAATATAATTTATGTCCAAAAACACGTACGCAACATTGTAGGATGCCGTCGTCGCGGTACCGGACGGTTCTCGTACTATTTTATCCGTCGATTTATGCGTTTTCCAACAAAAGAAAAAAAATTGTCTCTTTACGACTGTACGTTTTTCCGTTTCCAATGCACCAACATTACACGTTTTACGCTAAAAGCACGACATTATACGTATGCTTTGCGTTTCGGATTCCGCCCCGAAATATCAATTTTTTTCAGGAAGATTTCACATTTTTTCATTTACATGGTCCAGCAGAGCATGTGAATCATTTTGCTGATGGTGCGATCTTTATTGAAGTCACGTGTGACTAGCTCCGCTTTAAACAGCTTCTGGTTAATAACTAACAAAACCGTCCGTGCAGTCGTTATAAACGAGGAGAAATTCGGAAAACCGTTAAAACTCGAAAATCACCTGCCTCAACAGTCTTATAAGAGTGTAGGCACCTTGTATTCGAATCGAGTACGAGATTAGTGTACTCGGTACCTAATTGGTTGATTAGGACACACATTCATCTCTCGCTCTCTCTCCCTCTTTCCCGGTGCTAAATGACTATAAATTGTATAAGATATATTTCATTCATCGACATTACTCCTTTATTAGAAAGTATATACCTATTGTACGAAAAAGGAACTCTTCGTTCTCTTTGATGAGAAATAAAATGACACTTACAGTGGGAATTTTGTGTACGGGTGTATGGGGTAGGAGACAGGATTTAGAAGAAGCGAGATTAAAAGTGCAACAGTGTATATTTACTTGCGGTGAAATACTGATATCATACATCGCTCGCTCGTCCACGCGGCTGCTGTTAGTGGGCACTGACCACAGTACATCATCGTCGTCCTTTCCCCGGCGTTCAACTAAGGGTATATTATATTGTATTATTTCTGTATTTCATCTTCGAGCAGTTAAAAATTTCGCATTCGTGGCAATACAGTAGCTAGATCTCGAGAGGAGAGCAGTTATGGAAGAGGAATGAAAGTACAATAACTTCCTATTGACTTTTCATATTTTGTAAATTTACCAAAATCAAAAAAAAAATATATATCTCTTATATATTAGTAAATATAACATCAAGAAGCATCACAATTATAAATCGAATATAGCATGATTGAATTTGGTTCTGATCTATAGTTATATTTTGTCCTCATACTCAAATATGAATAAATAACTAAAGATTATACATGCCACCAAAAAAGACATTTAAAGCTTTAAAAAGAGTGATATATTACTTCGAAAATTTAAAAACCTTTAGCACTCTTAAATTTAATTGTAATTAACTGCAATATGAACATAACATTATTGAATACTTTTTGTTTTCAATTGGACTTGAATAATTTTACAATTTTTTTATTTTCTCATCAAGAAATTATTGTATTATATTAGATTAAATATTGAGTCGAATCATATTGATTAACTGGTCGAGATTTAATATTTAACGTAGGGGGAGTTCCTTGGTGTCTTCATCTCCCAGATTCCGATATAATGTTATGTTCGTTATTATCCACCGAGTATATGTTATGACAAAGAAGGTTAAAAAACATGGAATAAAACAAGTAAACAAACTTCAAGCTATGATCATCTGTAACAAAGAAATTTATTCAAATGTCTTCAGTTCCTTGCCAGATACTATATCAGTCTCCACTGTATCTATCAAATGAACGCACATTTTCATATTTGAAGCAAATCAAAACATGTTTAAGAAATATTATGTTTGAAATAAAGATAAATTATTATGTCAAACTTTTAAGAAACTATTTATAAAATTAATGAAGTTAGTTGAATTATTTTAAATTAAATTGCATGCTTGTGATGATATCGATTCATAGGGATGAAAACTATTTAACAGTGGGTGCAATATTGACCGAATTTTGCAAAAAAAAAAAGATGATTTTATTTTATTTTGTAAAATATATAAAATGTAAATACAGTCAATACTTTTATTTCAATATAATGCTTTTGAAGTACATATTGTTTTTCAGGATCCCCTCTTCATAAGAAAATGTTGAAAATGCAATACTGGTTTAATTATATATTAAAATACAGTTTATTTCTTTGAGTTTTTAACATTTTTGCTTTCAATCGTTGGTTTATATGATTTTTCTTTTATTTTATTACTTTATTTATATTTTCACAATCTGTTACATAGTTTGAACAATAAGTAAAATTGATGAAATAGATAACTATGGAGTGAAGGACGGATTAAAGATACCTTCTAGTGAAGGCACTTTTACAGTTAAATATGAGAAAAAAAAAAAGAATAAAAAAAAAAAGTGTTAAACAATGTTAGAAAATATCATAAAGATAAGTGGAAATAGCAAAGGTAGATATAGAAAGAAGAACAATAGGAGTTAGATTGGTCTAGACTAATAGGTTCCTACACCATCGCCTTTTCAACCTTTTTTGTAAGTTGCCGGGTATATTTATAGACGCAAGTTCTTTGATTAAAGGATTTTTGTGGTTTTGTAGGTTGAAATTAAATCGTCTGTAGAATGTCTTAGCTACATCGTTGACAGAAGAGATGGTTAGGTCGTTATGTAATGTATGATTTGATACGTAGAAGGGTGCTTTGGTTATAGCACGGAGGATTTTCGACTGGAAACGCTGGATACGGTTGACATTTGTAGGTTTTGCGGAGCCCCATAATTGGATTCCGTACGTCCAAATTGGTTTTAAGTAGAGTTTATATATTAATAATTTAGTGGATAATTTTATATGATGAGAAGTAAGAAGTGAACGGAGAAGACGAAAACGATCGTTTAGGGTTAAGAGCTTATTACGTATATGTGGAGCCCAGGTGAGACGTTGATCGATGGTGATGCTTAGGTAGCTAATGCTAATGGCAGGTAGAATTTGTTCATTAAGGGTATTTTTTCTTCCTAAGCGTGAAGGTACAATGTATGGATTTAGATTCATTAATTTTTACTCCCCATTCCTTATACCATTGTTCGAGGAGGGAGAGATGTTCTTGGATGTTGAGGGAGGCAGTGATTGGGTCGATATTGTTGGTTATTATTGCCTTATCATCGGCAAAATCACCAACAAGGGAAGTGGGTATTGTTGGTTGGTCGGATATGAAAATGTTGAATAAAAGAGGAGCAGTGACTGCACCTTGAAGGACTCCTGCGTTGATTGGTTTCGGTGGGGAGGTGGATGATCCGTAACGTACCGAGAAGAAGCGATCTTCTAGGTAGGATTTCAGAATCAGGTAGTAGCTAGCTGGTAGAATGAGCTTCAATTTGAACAGTAGACCTACGTGCCAGACGCGGTCAAACGCTTGGGAAACGTCAAGAAAAGCACCTGTACAGTATTGTTTTTCCTCTAAGGAGAAAGATATCTTGTCTACTATTCTGTGAATTTGATGGATGGTGGAATGTTTGCTACGAAAACCAAATTGTGAATCGGGTAAAGCTTTTGTTTCTTCAACGATTTTAATAAATCTTTTTAGAAGCATTTTTTCAAAAACTTTTGATAGTATTGGTAGCAAACTTATTGGTCTGTAGGATGATGGACAGTCTGGAGGTTTTTTTGGTTTCAGGATAAGTATAACAGAGGAATACTTCCATAGTAATGGGAAGTAGGATAATCTAAGCATCGAATCATATATGTAGGTCAAAAGTATGATAACTTTTTTGGGGAGCTGATTAAGTACTTCTGCTGTTATTAGGTCATATCCGGGAGACTTTTTTCGGGGAAATTTTGAAGTTGTATATTTTACCTCAACTGGAGAGAAGTGTTTAGGAGGAAGGGACATTTGTAACGGTATGTCAAGAAATCGCTCAACTTCATTGATTTTTTCCGGTAGAAGGATGGTATTGTGTGGTTGGAATGTGTCAGCGAGGTGGTTTACGAATATATTAGCTTTGTCCATGTCAGAGTGTACCCAATTACCACTGGCGTCGCGTAGGATAGCTGGAGGGTTATGCACGCGAAGAAGATTTTTCGTTGCCTTCCAGAGAGAACCGTCTTTTGTCGTAAGTGATATTAAGTGTTTAGTATAAGATTCATTTTGATAATTTGCTAGGATGCGTTTGAGATTTTACGCGAGTGCATTATAGTGGCATTTATCAGTCGGGTATTTAGATCTATGCCATAAACAGCGAGCGCGACGTTTTTGTACTATAAGGCTACGTATATATAAAGGAAGAATTGCAATGGGTGTGTGTGGTTTCGATGGTAGAACTGATTCCCATGCTGAGGTTTTTATATTGGATGTTAAGAGATTCACAGCGTCATCAATTTCAGCTGTGGTTTTCAGAAGGACTTTTAGATTAGTTTTTTGTAGGATTAATTTTTGAAAATTTTCCCAGTTGATTTGAGAATGTAACGGTGGTGCATTGTATTGGTTGGGCGAAGGCTGGCAGTCTATTGTGATTAGAATGGGGGAATGATCTGAGCATGGAGCATGGAGATTTATAATCGAGGAGTGGAACGTGCTAGGGATTTTTGTTATAAGTATATCTAAAATATCCGGTCTCTTTCTAGGAGACGTTGGCCAATAGGTGGGGTTGGGAGGTGAGATGATTCGTCGGGTATTGTGAGTGATACTTTGTAAGAGTGAGTTTCCTCTCGGATTTGTGGTGCGGCATCCCCATTGAATATGTTTGGCATTTATATCGCCACCAACTATGAAGTTATGACCAAGTGTATGAAAATAAAGATCGAATTGATTTGAATGTATGGCGTGTTTAGGAGGACAGTATATAGCTGCTATTAAGATGGGAATACTATTAATTGATATGGATACCACGCAAGATTGGATGTAGTCTGTTTAAAAATTAGTAAATTGGTGCGATGCAAGTGATGATCTAACATAAATAACAGCACCTGCATGTGGAGTTCCATCTGGATGGTTAGTTTTATATGAGCGGAAACCTGGTAGGTTGAGTGAGTAGTTGTTTGTAAAGTGCGTTTCAGATATTAATGCAATATCAATTCTTTTTTCTTGTAGAGTGATTAAGAATTCGTCTTTGTGATTTTTTAGGCCATTTGCGTTCCATGAGAGGATCGTGAGAGAGTTGTTGGTAAATGAGTTATATGTTGTGTTTGACATTTAAAAGATTGGTCATGACTGTTGTGAGGAGAGATATAAGGGGGTTTATTATGCATTTAAAGTCTTCTAAAAAGTTAGTTAGTACATTGTTATCAATGCTAAATGTTTGTTGGGTGTCGGGGAAGTTGGACGGTGGTGTGTTACATGTATTCAGGCCCGTCGCAAGAAATTTTCCCCTTCGGCAAACGTAAGGCCGCCCCTTTCAATCAAAAGCTAAATATATTATAGTATACAATTTTATCACATTATTAATATAATAAATAACATATTATAAATTAAATTTTAAATTATTGTTGCATTTAATTTCAAAAAGTAAAGTTAATACAATATTGTTATTTCCATAAATTAATAAACGTCTTATATCTATGATGATAAAAATAATAATCTTATAAATTTATAATATTAATAAAATAGTTAATATAAAATATGTATTTCAACTTGAGTTATAATGTTTACAATTCGCAGTCCACAGAAGTGTACTAAACTAAAAATTAACTTTCCTTGCTTTTTTTGAAGCAAAGTCTTGAACGATGTCTTCTAAATCCAATTCTTGCGCCAAATGGGACTCAATGGATAACAATGCTAACCCGGTTAATCTTTCATTGCTCATGGTTGATCTGAGGTGGTTTTTAATAAGTTTCAACTTAGAAAAACTCCTCTCAGCTGACGCCACAGTGACCGGAATCGTTAGAACAATTCTCAAACTAGTTGTAATATTAGGGTAAATCTCTTGTAATTTTTTATTATAAATAAGCTCAAGATTTTGTTGGGAGAACTATTTGGTTCGGTAAGTTGACAAAATATTTTTAGTTCTTCAAATAGTTCTACTGCGTTGATATCAGATGTTTCTTTTACTGATAATAAAATAGCCAAATCTTTGCAATGATTTAATAATGTTTCGTGCTCCCAGTTTTTTAATAAATTAATATTGTATAAAAATCCAAAATTTAAACAATGGTGGTTTAACAGATCAAATCTTTCTCGCAAAGAATTAATGGCTGTGTCCATTATTGCGTGGAAAAACTCTACTTCAAATTTTTTTCTGGATTATGAAGAGGCGTTTCATCTCTGTTTTCATAGCTGAAATGTGTTTTTTTTTTTGTCGTTTACGTACTTGATATTCTTCGGGAAATTTTCCTGGTATTTCTATTAATAGAGCAATGTCTTTTGCAGCTATTATAACTTTGGGAATCCCATTTTGACGGTATTCTTTTAAAAACTTTACAATACTTGATACACTTTTAAGGGCCATTTGTATATCATAATGTATAGATTGCAATTGTTTACTTATTGGGTTAACAGCACACAATATATTGTACCAAACAATGACAGAGGATATAAATTTAAAATCACAGATATTTTTTAAAAGAGCACATGCATCAGATTTTATCTGCAGACCATGTGAACCAGTTTAATTCAAATCTTCTTTAATGTGAAGCAAAACATCATAAATTTCTCCAAATTGATGCCGTATTGGCCTTATTGTATCAATTCTTGATTCCCAACGTGTATCACATACTCTTTTTAGTGTTAATTTTGGCAAAAATTGTAGTAAAACTTTCCATCTATTAGTATACGCTGAAAAAAAAAACATAGAGTTTCTGAACTATGCCAAAAAATGAAATTGCATCCACATTGCATTTCGCTGTGTCATTTATAACCAAGTTCAATGAATGGGAATTACAAGGTACATAAAACGCACGAGGATTAATGTTTAATATACGTTTTTGAACACCATTTTGTTTTCCTCTCATATTTGAGCGATTATCGTAGCTCTGACCACGCATGTCATTTATATTTATTTTCAAATCCATAAGCTCTTTTATTATTCGCTCACTTAATTCAGCTCCCGTCTTATCAAAAACTTCAATGAACCCAATGAAATGTTCGTGCACATCACCTGTTGTAGTAGAAACAAACCGCGGTATTATTGACATTTGTTCTCTATGGCTACAATCAGGAGTGCAATCCAAAATAATAAAGTAATACTTAACGTCTTTTACCATAGTCAAAATTACTATTACTTTAATATTACTTTTCACTTTTTCAGATATTAAACTGATCAACTCATTTTGAATTTGCGGTCCTAAATAATGAACATGTTATTCTTTATTTTTTATCTTATCTAAATGATCTTTTAAAACATTGTCAAATAATGAAAAATATTCAATGAGCTTCAAAAAATTTCCATTATGGGGTGAATGTATTACAGATGACGTTCCTCGAAACGCTAGATTTTTTGCAGCCATACAACGCAAAATTGCGCATAATCGGACCAAAACTGCCTTCCAACGTTTTCTTTCACTATCAATAATTTTTTGATTATGAGAGTCAATAGTTTGATTTAATTTTAATCTAGTTAACATTTCTTGCCAATTAGAGTAGTATAAAATATGTGTTTTGGACATTTCATGTATCTTAAAATGGGCAGTCAAATTCTTCCAGTCATTATACCAAATTCCCGAAGCAACACCAGTGTCAAATAACTTGACACTAAACATTCTACAGCAAAAACAGTACACAGCATCGTTATTTATTGAATAAACTAATCAGGATCTTTCAAAATATTCACCATTCTTTAATACACGTTGGCAGTATACTACAGAAAATTTTCTATTTTCATGATTTTATGGAAAATTCAAAGATTTAATTTGTATAGGTCCCTTTTTTATAAATAACATTCGAACAGAATCAATCAGTTTTAGAAGCCAATAAGAAGGATCATCATGTACATCGGCAGGGTTTTTAAAATATTTCTTTCTAAAGAATCATCATCAACATTTTTATCGATGGATATATTCAAGTCCATAGAATCAGTATCCGAATAAGAAACCAATTCAAATTCCTTTGTCGGTGAAGTGTTATAAGTTATACTGGATGAAGTCGAAGGTAAACAGTCAATATTGCAATTTAATTGCTGGCCCTGACTTGAAGACTTCAATGGGGCAGTGGAAATAGTAGTTAGATGTGTATTATTAACATTTAAAGAAAACTTAGATGACTTTTTGAAATCAGAAGAAACTGCTTCTAAACTCTTATCACTTGAATTTGATTGTTGAATTTCTGTTTGTTTCAATAAAAACTTTGTGAAACTTCCAACTTCTTTATCAATACATTTTTGTTTAGCTTCTCTAATTTTCATATATTTACACCCGAAAAATCGTTTCCGTGATGCCATAATTTATAAAAGAAAATGTTTTTCAAATTATGGTAAATCCTAAAATTATATCGGAATTATATAACTAATATGTAAATGAAATTACTGTTTTTATTATATTGTAAGTATAAACCATTTTAAAATTGTAATAGAATCTAATATTATAACTATTAGGCAATCTTGTAAAGTATTGGAATAAATGTATTCGAATAAAAGTATTTGAATACATTTTTTTTATTTGAATACTATTCTAAATACATTTAAAAAAATATATTCGAATAAGTATTCTGAATATCGTTTTTTAGTATTTTTATTTTATATTTTAATACTAAATTTGAAAAAAAAAATTGTGCTTATAAATTAAGGAAAACGCTGTTGTGGGTTTATGGTCTTTTTTTACGTAATACCTAGTACCTACGGGATACGGGCTATATTTAATAAAATTATTGTAAGCAAAACTTGTGGAAAACCTTGTGTCAAATTTTCAATTCTTAGCTTTTTATACAAAATTGTTTATACGTTTCTATGACTTAAAATTTTAGAATAATAAATATTTAAAATCGTTGTTTATTATACAAAATTTTATAAAAAATTTTCTAAAATGACGCACAAGTTTTTTTTATAGTTATTTGAAGAAAAACTTATGGATTGTGTATTGAAGTTTTTAAGCTAATAGGTATATAAAAAAAATGCTTATGAATTTTTAACTGCAAATTTACTTGAAAATTTTCACGATTTTGACATATTTCGTAAAAGTTTGAAATTTAAGCGCTTATAAGAAAAATTAAGAATTAAATATGTATTATAATAATATCATAATATAAATCATTATAATTATATGTACTTACTTGTATTTCTTTGTCGTTGCCCGTTTGAATATTTGATAGGTACTATTCGTAAAAAATAACTAATATTTGGTATTATATTGATTATTGACGAGTGACGACTGACGACCGACAGTCAAAAACCAAAAACAAACTACGAATGATAGTAAATCAACAAACTTTGTCGTAATTATTAAGATTTTCTATTTTATCTGTCGATTGCACCGACACTACGATAAGATAATATCATGGCAATTCCAGACTAGCATGCAGCCGCCGCCAGCCGGTCATCATTGAAACCCGTGTATTATATATAGATAAATATAGAATAATAATATATTGTGTACAACATTAGATAGGATAATAGATATTCACTACTCAAATTGCTTTTATATGTCACTATAGTATTGTTTTGAAATGTGATATCCATGTTTCGAATTTATTATTGATTGCAACATCTAAAACAATTTAATACAACGAATTTTCCATCATAAAAAAATTCCGCCCCAGTTTCATTGAAAATGTTAGGCAATGGCCTAACCTGCTTATGCTCTAGCGACGGGCCTGCCTGTATTAGTAGCTGCCACTTCTGCGTATGAGTGATGTTGAGTTCTTGGAATTTGTGTCGATGGATGTGGTGTTGGCTGGTTGATGGACTGCGAATGGTGATTGGTTGGTGGTGGTTGTTGCTGCTAATTGTTATTTCTTGTGTTGTGAGGTTGGCGGCGACGCTGTTGAAGCTCTTTATATACAATACAACCTTTGTAGCTTGCAGAGTGTTCGCCGTTGCAGAGCGCGCATTTTGCCGGAAATTCAGGTGATTTGGTACAGTTTGCGGTAGGATGAGTCCCACCACATTTAACACAGCGAGGAGAATTAGAACAGTAGCTCCTTGTATGGCCATAGGTCTGACAGTTTGGGCATTGGGGAATTTCGCGGCGCTTGTGAGGTTCTTCTACTTTGATTTTTGTGTTCAGTAGGGAAGTAATATTAAATATTTCCTTACTTATAGTTTCAGGAGCAAGATCAATGAAAAATAATGGTAGTGCTTTTTTGGTTTTTTGGTGTTTTAAATTAGTCACTTGTTTTACGGTAAAGCCGATCTCCTCTAGAGCAGAAGTGATTTCAGTGGGTTCGGTTGTATGATGAAAATTTTTTATAACTGCTCTGAGTGATTTATCTGACTGAGGTTGGAAGGTATGGTATTCTGCTTTTTCGTCTTTTAGAAAGTGTATAAGTGTTCTGTAGTTATCAGGAGTGTCTACTTGTATTTTTAGATGCGTGGTTGTTGATTTGCAAGTGAAGCTATCCTGCCCAATTAGATTGCCAATTGCATTTCTAAGATTAGAAAAGTTAAGTGTTCCTTTTACATATATTGGTGATGGTTGGTCTTTTTTGTTTGTTTGTGTGATTGCTGGTTCGTTTTGATTATTAGTGTCATCGTTATCAATTGTATCGGGTTCGTTTTCAGATAATACGGAAAATCAGTTTGGCGAGGAAAAAATTTTTGGTTTTTTCTCTTGGATATTGTTCGGGCTATTTGATGAACAGGGGAGACTACGTTTGGAAAGATTTTGCTGTTGCTGCCATTCGGGGCTTGATAATGGAAAAGCGTTGTGAATCACTTGATTATTAACTATTTTAATTGGTTGTACCGTTTTAGCTTGTTTACTTTTAGGCGGATTAGATTGCATGGTGCGATTATCTGGTTTGCATTCCAAAGGTCACCGCGTTAACGGTGCCTGGAGTGACTGATATAGATAATTTTTTTTTTCTTTCTTGTTATTATTAAGTAATTAATTAATTAAATATATTACTTTTTTTGATGTAGCGATGATTGAAGGTGCTAAAGTGGTTTGATAGTATGAGTTGAAAGTTTGCTGCGACTTTATATTGGATTTGAAAAAAAAATTAGATCGTAAACCGATAAGATTAACGAATAATGTATAAACATAGCTCGGGAACAATGAACTGCACGTATGCGCTGTACGGTTGCTCGAGCTGAACTGATTTATATGATTAAAATGTTATTTTGAAAATCCCTTCAAATTATATAAATTTCTAGCAATAATTATACTATGATAAATCAATCAAATCACATTGCTTTTTGCTCCTGTTAAATACCATTTAGGAAAAAAGCTTGGAAATAGGTAATTCTTTTAGTGACAACCGACAAAATTAAAGGATTTTTTTGAATAAAATGTTATCAAATCTAAATTTATACTAACCAACTTCAATAACAAATTATATTAGTACCATATAAAAGAAATA